GGTCTTTTATTTCATTTTAAGACACTTTTGATTGTTTTACAGGCCAACACCACACTGCAACTCTTCAAGGCTGAAGTTTGTTCTTTTACCCCTTCCCAGCTAGAACCCCCTTCAATTATACTTATTCCAGCTAGTTACAGTGAAGCCTGGCAATAGTTCATTAAAAACCTGTACAAAAATTAATCTAGTTACAGGACTGGGCTTTGTGAAGTGTAATGGAATTACAGTTGTCAAATGAAAACAGGAAATGTCAAAGTAGTAACAGAACAAGTTAATTCTCAATCTTTAGGAGTAGAAAGTCCTAGTGCTGCTACATGAACAATTAAAAGTGCCCTCGTTATTCACAGAAATCATTTTCACCTGAGATTGAGGATGGCATCAAGGATGAGAGCGCTAAACTAAAAGAGCATTAGAGTGGGCTCTGTCATTCCAGCTGCCTTGAAACAGCGGGTGGTTAAAGGACAAAGTCCCACTCCCATTTATGCATCCCCAGCAGATGTATAACCCTATAGTCATCAAGCTCAGAAAACTAATTGTCAAAAAGAGCTTTCCTTGGCCTGGTGCTTGTCTGTGTGTGCCTGCTCGCCAGTACAAACCCGGTGGCAGCCCTGGATGGGCACAAAACGGGTAAAGCTATTTCCAGGGGCAAAGCCAGCTACGACGGGATGGTTTTTGCTCTAAATGCCAACTCTGCATGAGGATCCGTAGGTTCCCTTTGCAGGCTAGGAAGGGGTGTTCAGCACTGCCTTCTGTGCAGTTTTGAAGTGTACTTGTCCGATGGGAAGTCCTTATCGCAGAAACCTTTTTGCCTTTGGAAAAAAAAACAAAGAGACACAAAAGCAGGAAGGTGGAAGACAGCACAATAGCAGGTGGGAACAACAGAGCACAGAGAGGAAGGAAGAAGGGCATGATCGGGAAAATAAAGGCTATTTTGGCAAAGAGGAGACACACAAACACACAGGAAGGGAAAAGGAAAAGAGGTAGACTAAATGGAAGTAGATATATAATGTAAATAAGATGTATTTGTTTCCCTTACTTCTCATCCTGTTACTTTGGTCCAAAATACACTTCTATCGGCTTATTAACTACCAGCTTTAATACACAGAATTGCCAGTACAGGTTTTCATTAAAGAATGATGCAGTGGGCAGGGCAGAAACGCTCAGCTCATGTTAAGCACGCAGCCAAGTGGCAGGACCGCCACATTTCTAGTGCTATTTCCTTTGCACGGGTGACTTGCAGAGAAGTCACAAAGTTTCTCTCCGTGCTCCTCCTGCATTCAGCCCACAGCCATCCAACCTTTTCATGAAGGATTTGTGGAATGGATGCAAGGCCTATGTTAAGTGCTCCTGAAGAAAACTACTCTGCTGCACTGCTGCAACTCACTCCTTTTGATATATGCAAAGTATTTTGATAACATCCCACAGAGTTAGGATCAAAAATCCGTCAAGTGATTTACACCGTCCCGGCATGACGCAGCAGTTGCTTTAGATTTCTTTTGCCCTTCGCTTCCATGGGCAGGTAGAACATATATAATACAGGCCTTCTACTTACTCTGAAGAGTCTGTAGACAAGGGAATTGCCTCCTTGGTGTTGAGAGGATTATTTGTGTTTCATATCAAAGGGAAGAGGGGAAAAGCTTAAGTGATTGGTTCCACCTTGGCTGGACAGCACTACCGCAGCTAGTGAAAAAGCACTCAGAAGTTAGTCAGTCTTTCAGACTACATACAACTGACATGAATATTGCTTAAAATTAATTCTGATGTTATTATATCAGGAAAAAAAGTCATTTCTGAAGATTGCAGTAAGCTTTGGGCCCACATCTTGGGAAACCTGTCCAGTTTGATAAGAGCATATAAACTCAAGAAACTGCTTTCATCACGTGGGCCATCAACATTGCTCCTGAGGCTCCGGCACGCTAGCACCTGTCTGTAACACAAGGGAGCTTAGAGATTCCCGACACTTGGAGCAACTATCAGGAAAACTTTGCAAGAACCATGAGCGATATTTCGAGCGTCCAAGAACCAGGAGTAGAAAAATCCAAACGGCATAAGGAGCTGCAAGAAGCAATTCAAGTTTTAATCACTACAGACGTAGTGCCGAAAGGCAGAAGCTGTTTTATCCTACACTTTACCGGCTCGTGTTGCAAAACTGAGCAGGTCACCGGGGCTGCAGCCGGCACACGAGAAGGGCTGAGGGGAAATTCCTTCTACAAGCCAGCCCCGACCCACACTGGTGTAGACGAGTGGCAGGCGCTTGCAGAACGGGCTTTAATTTTTCCTGTAGTTTGCATGCAAAAGGGTAGATAAGTAAAATATATATATATATACACACACATGTAGAAGTGACTCATGTCACTGAAAGCGCTCAGAAGAGCTTCCAGTCTATCAGTTGCTGAGATATCAGAAGAGATTAGATCAACAAAAGTAAAGAGCAATGACTTTCTGATGCCTTATCGTAATTAAAGGCATCAGCAGCGATTCCATGAAAACTGAATTAAGCGCTGCTGTTTGCGACAGATGCAACAACTCCGCAGGGCTCGGGTACTACCAGCTCCCCACGTGAACACGGTGACATTTTGCACCGAGCATTTGACACTGTGACACCCGGGGAGGCAGTGCCGGCACGCGGGGCCAGGGCGCCGGAGCGGAGCCAAGCGCGGAAAGCGGACACCGGGCATGGGGGGGTCTCGGTCCCGCTGGCTCCCCATGGCTTCTCCAGCATCCGATGCCCAACGGCTGGAAGGGCCCGGGGACTCGCTGGAGTTTCTAGGAACGGAGCTGGCAGCGCGTGCGAGAGGGGTGAAGATCCCGCTCGGGACCGAGCAAGGTGGAGAGACACCGAAGCGAAGGAGGGGGGCCCGTGTCACCGTGAGGCGCAGGGGCGAGCAGGGACCACCCAAGGGTGCCACACGGCACACGGGCCACCAAGGGCCACCAGCAGCAGCGAGAGCGCGGGGCAAGGCCCAAGGCCCCCGCCGGGACGGGGGCGGGCGGCAATGTCACCAGGGCCGGGGGCAGGCAGCGGCTCCACGCGGCCAGGACGCGGCGGAGCCCGCGGGGAGGGGAAAGGGGCCGGGCG